AAATTCCAGCCAGGCAACACTGAGACATAGTTTATTAATGCAGTTTCCCCCACAGCAGGACACAGAGAGAGAAATTGGTAAAACAGTCACATTAAAAAATTATGACTTCTACATCTGATCTTTATGAATACACAGAAACCGTCCTCGTGAGCCGTCCTTGGGCGTGCTGAAGCAGGGAGGCGAAGAAATTTTTATTCTTCAAAACCCCATGATGGGATTATTTTGTTCACAGTGTTGTAGGAAAACAGATTTCCTACATTAAGGGAACTTCAGTGATGTTTATAAAAAGGCCTTGTGTGGGACCTTGAATGATTCTCCCAATTAGGTTTTAAAATACAAACATTATAGTTTTTTGTTTTTAGAGCATGTAAAATTGAAATCTGTTTGCATTCCTTTGGGGGAAGAATTGTAGTAGGTGGCAAATTGATTGTTAAGGATTGTAAGTGGGATTTCCCTAGACCCAAATTGCCAAAAAAGGAGCTTGAGAATCATCTAATCTAGGGTTTTGAATATTGAGGGCTGTTTTTCTCTGAGGAGTTCCAAAATCATTTTAGGGCAGGCTACAAATGTTGCTCTGTGAAACTTTTATTTCAATTGATAATTCAACTTTTATTTCAGCTGGTAGGGCATTTGTCTTGCGCTCAGTTGACCTGGCTGACCGGCTGACCCAGGTTCGATTTCTCCACCCCTCTCGGAGAGCCCGGCAAGCTACCAAGAGTATCTTGCCCGTACGGCAAAGCCTGGCAAGCTACCTGTGATGTATTCAATATGCCAAACATAGTAACAACAAGTCTTACAAGATGTTACTGGGCCCGCTCGAGCAAATCGATGAACAACAGGAGGACAGTGCTACAGTGCAAGTGCAGTGCATTAGTTCACTGGTGTGTGTGTGTGTGTCTGTGTGTGTGTACGTGTGTGCATGGATGTGTATGTGCTGGTGCATGTATGTGTGTGTGCATGCATGCATGTGTGTATATGCGTGCACGTGTGTGTGTGTGTGTGTGAGTGTGTGAATATGTGCATGCATACTGGGTCACAATAGCCTAGGAGGAAGGACATAATCCATTGTGGCCTGGAGAGGCATCCCATTCAGGCGAGAACCATGGTTCCCCCCCTTCTGGTGAGTTCTGAAAGCTGCTGATTTAATAAGCACCCTGTTTCAGGTAAAGCACCTGGAACCGGAGGGAGGAAATGACTTTCTCAAGTTACACTTGAGTATCTTGACTTTCAAGAAATAATTTTTGTACTCTACTGATCAAAGTATGCTTGGTGGTGGTGGCCAACTCCTGCCCTGAGCTTTCCACACCACCTCCTCAGCAGATATTCTGTTCTTTTCTACAGCATTTTTTTTTCTTTTTGGGTCATACCCAACAATGCTCAAAATTCCTGGCTCTGCACTCAGGAATTACTCCTGGTGGTGCTTGGAGGACCACATGGGATGCCGGGGATGGAATCCAGGTTGGCCACGTGCAAGGCAAAAGCCTTGCATGCTGTACTATCACTTTGGTCTCTTCTACAGCAATTTCTAAGCACCTTGTAACCCCTACACGTACTCCCTTCTCCCTTCCCCTTCTCCCCTTCCCGCCCCCCCCCCCCACACACAACTTTAGAGCACCAGAAATCTGTGGTTCTGTGAGATGGGGCAGTTGTATGGGCACAAATAAAGCCCCAACTTGGTTGATTCATGACTATTGGGTAGCTTAAAATTAAAATTACTGGAACTTAGGAGACATTTGAGAAGTAGAATCACAGTAACCTTGTGAAAAAGAGGGTATTTAAGACAATTCTTACTGAGGATATTCTCAGGGAGGAGACAACCAGCTGGCAACTGTGAACTTTCCATAATTCCCCCCAGATATAGGCACTTTGGTTTACCTTTCTGCTTCAAAATAAAAGCTTGTGTGACGTTTTGTATGTCTGCAGAAATACAGCAGGAATAGAGGAATAGATAGGAATAGAACAGGAATCTTACTGGGGACTCAAAGGTCAAACAATTTTATTAGATTTACTTTGTGCCCTGCACTGTTTTGAGACTATTACAAATACTTATTTAATCTACATAATCAGCATCTAGGTCATAGTTTTGACCGTCTTAGCTGTGGTTAAAGGGAAAAAAGTTGAAAAGTTCTGAAAGGCATAAAAATATCACCTTTCCTCCCCATCTGAAGACAGGAGGGGGAGTCCTCTTAATAGAGGCTAGAACTATGTCATAGACAAAGTGAATTAATCAAGTCAAATCCAGGGAGAAAAGGTCAACTTTCTACTTTTTTTTTTTTTTTTTGGCAGAAGGAATCGAGAGGATTGCTCTTCTTGCAAAGATTCATCATTTTTTGATGCTTTCTAGAAGTGGTGATAGATTTGCTATGAGTCAGTTATTTTTTTTTAATTGCCCTCATATATTTGTAGTAGAGTTTCCTTGGTGCAGAGGCCTTACTTCGTCCTGAAACCACCTACATAGGGATCAAACATTTGCCCCTTTCCTAAAAATTTAGCGCTTTGCTAGTAGAGAGTCCTTAATCATTTGTTGCATTCATTTACTACCATCCTTCAAAAACTGAATGTGTCCTTGGAAGTAACTAAGCTTTGGCACTGATGCAGAAAAGTAGTTTTACCAAAGAGTGGGGGTATTTTTAAAAGATGAAGCAGACAGGTTCTGAAGTACCTATGAAGTGCCCTTATGTTTCAGATGTTAACATTTAAATCCCATAAAACTCTGATCGAATCTCCATTTCACAGAGGATGGAATGGAGTGAAATGCTAAGAGTAAATAGGAGGGAGACAGAATTCAGAATATAGCCTTCCTGCAGAATCCATTACTCTTTACACATCATATTGCAGCTTGAAAGTTTCTTTTTTCCCCCCTCTTAATCTGAAAAAATGATTTGGCCCTAGCAGTATTCAGTGACCTTGGCAAAACTTTAATTGATCTTTCCATGCTACCGCCTACAGATTATCCACAAGGAATGCAACAGTTAAAACCCCTTCTCTGTAATTAAGTCTTGGTTCCTTTAACAACTCCACCATGTAATTAAACTTACTTCTCCAACGGGCAGATATGGTTCACTAAAGAATCTGAGAAGAGACATTTAAATTATGCTTAGTTTCTTGCTTCTGGTAACTATGCTCAAGTCTGGGCCTGGAACAGAAGTTTAGGAGGAATGTGGAAAATGTTGCTGGTCTAGAATTCATGAGGGCTGAAGGTTTATGGGAGATAGGGTGTATTTTCTGCACAATCTGTGAAACCTCTAACCTATCTCAGCTTATTATTATATTCCAGGAATACTTTGAACAAAAATGTAGGTTGCTGAACGTCTACCCTTTTCTTGGAGCAGTCTCTGCTGAATTCTGCACCTATTTTTTTAGTTATTGATTATCAAAAATGGAAAATGTTTCTTTTTTGAAAGATGTAATTATCAGAGGTCTCACATGAACCAGGTCTTGGAAAAAATGAGAGGTATATTTGCAATTATCAGTACATTCTGGGGTTATACTCTGAAAAACTTTGGCTTACACCACAAATCATTCATGAACTCTGTATTTTTTTCAATTGATATAAAATTTAGTTTATCACAAGGCACTGAAGACATACATGTGGCATTAAATAGTTAAATTACACACTGTGCTATAAAGCAGTGGAAAGGGAACCCACAGAGATTTAATATCCTTATGAGTTTATAAAACCCTAGGTTTACAAATACAAGTCAATAAAAGACAATTAAAGTAACACAAAATTGCTTAGAGTTAAAGGTTATTAAATAAAAACAAAATAATAGATAAGGTACTTGGACCCAGGAAGTAAATGAAATGCCAAGATAAAACATCAACAGATATAAAATAAATGTAAACCAATTCCCTTCCCTTGCCCCGTTGGTTGGTCAAGAAGTCTAAGGGAATCCATAAAAATTTTCTATCTTGGAAGTCCCCAAGAAGCAGAGGGCCAAATGTCATAGGTAAAGGAAGTGCACATTTTCTTGGTCTCACAATAACTGCTGAGGTGACCATGCAATTAGTACGGAGATAGGCAAACAAACAACAACAAAGACCAAAAACCAGTAAAACCTGGAGAGAATTGCTGGATGACTCCAGATGTTGTAGATTATGAGTTCCTGGATGCGGTGATTCGAATTTATGCCAGAAGATTAAAGGGAAGAATTAATTTATGACTTTCTCTACCTGTTTGCAATACGTGCTGATCTTATTATCTGCACATCCTGATGTTGTAATTACAACGCTGAAAATAATGTGTAACACGTGACCACTGTAGTAAGTTTAAAGAGGTAGTGGGCATTTGTCATCTGAACATCTGGTTCTTTCATAGTTGCCAAATGATTAATATAGGAATATATAACAGTGAAATTCTTTCATATCAAAGTTATATTTGCCAGGAAATACTTTTCTTCCCTCTTTCCACCTTCCCCCACATTTAATGCTGACCTCAGAAATTTCCAGCAGTGAGCTTCTTTTGAGTGAGCAGAATCGTTTATTCTGGTCTTTGTTTGAATTCTGGAAGTCCATAGTCAGAGCTGGAAGATATATATGTATGTGTGTGTGTCCTTTGTTTAAAAATGCACACCTGCAAGAAAGAAATCCTAGGGCTTATTTTCAAAGCAGGTAGGGCATCGGACACCTCATAAACCACAGGAATTAATTCTAAATTTTAAACTTTTATTGAAATATAAGTTTGTTTAGTATATTTACACCACACTTTATGCACATATATACATAAAAGGAGAATTTTGTCAAATAAAAAAAGTTTTTCTTAATACAAAATTAAAATAAAAACAAAGTAAAGTGCATGAAACTTAATATTTTTTTTTCCTCCTGGTGCACATCATCACTGTCAAAATTTTGGTCGATCTGAAGGGGTGTAGGGAAGAAATTCATTCTTTGATTCAGTGCACAGAGCTCTCCCCAACCCCTCCGCCACCCCCTTGCCTTTGATACCTTTAGGCTACTGGTGAACGGGGACGGGGACGGGGGAGGGGGCGGGGGGGGGGGGGAGACAAGTCAGACAAATTGTCAAGGTCTGCGGGCTCCCGGGTCGCAGAGGTCCTGTTCTCTTTGTCACATCGGGAGCCACCCCCCAGCTCTTAACAGTGATCTCACCATCGCGGAGCTGGAACAAAGGGAGAACACAGAAAGAGGGTTCCACCAGCTAATGTCACAGCCCTGCTCCGGGGCCACCACCGGCGCTGCGTTGGGTAGGAAATTGCAGCAGGAACTGACGGCTCCAGTAGAAGTTTTTCGGAAAGGGTCGGAGGGCGCCAAGGAATGGGCATGCATCTGCCACTGAGAAGGCCACCTGGGGGTGGGGGTGGAAGCGGAGGGATGGCAAACTCCGTCCGCCGCCAGTTTCTTCGATGCGAACTCCGTGCCGGCAGCCGGCAGCATCCTTTCATAGACTGGGTGGATGGAATGTTACACTTCCGCCTTGGGGACTTGGTCCTCCCTGGCCTCCGAAAGCCGCCAGCACAGGAGGAAGGGGCAGGTGGGCGAAACCGAAGTTTCAGCCGCCTTCGATCTCTGGGCCATACAGGCTGGGCGTTGGCCGGTTGGTTGGTCCCCGGCGCTGGCCCGTGGCGACCGCCCTTCTCCAACCGCGTGGTCCCCTAGCCCGGGGCACCCTCCGTACTCACTCTCTCCCTCCCGGGGAGGCTAAGTCCCGGGGCGGCGGCCGTACTTGGCCTTACAGTGCAATATGTGCTTGGCGAGGAAGTCGAGGCGGCGCTGCAGCAGCTGGGCGTGGGGGTCGGCCAGCGCGGCCAGCTCGGGGAAGCGCGGCTCGTGGTGCTCGTAGAGGCACCGCAGCCGAGCGGCCGCGTCCTGGCCGCGGTGCAGTTCCAGGACGCGCCGCGCTGTCCGCTCGCGGAACACGCACACCGACTGCAGCAGCGGCTCGTTGTACTTGTCCCACATGCCGGCCACCCGGTAGCCGTGCACCAGACCCGCCTCGTTGTCGAGAAAGACCAGCGCCCCGCTGGGGCCACGGTGCAGGTTGCTGGTGGCGCGCTGCATGACGCGCGGGTCCCACTGCAGGCTGAAGAGGTTGCTGACCAGCCGGTCGAAGTTGGCCGTCAGGTAGTCAAAGAGGATCAGGTCGGTCCACTGCACCAGGTCCACCAGCTCCGCCTGGCTGCGGTTGGCCAGCTCGCCCCCGGCGGCGCGCAGGGGCCGCAGCTGCCCGTCCTCGGAGCGCCAGGGCGCGGGCACCACCACGTCCGTGAGGTTGGGCAGCCAGCGCGTCAGGCTCACCGCGCTGCCCTCGGTCCAGTGCGCCGCCCGCAGCTCCTCCTGCACCTGCGCCCACTGCGCGCCGCGGGCTTCCACCCGGGCCAGTGCCAGCGGCGGCACGTGGCGCTGGAGGCCCAGCAGGCGCGCCAGGTAGTAGGACAGGGCCTCGCCCTGGATCTGCTCCGGGTTGATGCCGTAGCGCACGCAGGCGCGGGTGCCGTCGGCGAAGCGGGCCAGCCGGTTGGAGCTGCGCCCGCAGCCCCCGCGCTCCAGGGCCACCACCCGGGCGCCGCGCACCGCCTGCAGCCACGCCGCCGCCTGGGCCTCGGAGAAGCCGCGGGGCACCTGCTCCTCCAGGCCGCGGCTCCAGAAGATGCCCCCGTGCACCACCGCGGCACCGCCGCCGCCGCCGCCAGCCTCCGAGCCGGGCCGCCCCGCCGGCACGTGCCGCCTGCGCCCCCCCGGGCCGTCGGCGCCCGCCGCCAAGGTGAGCAGCGCCCGGAAAGTTTTCAGGGAGCCCCCGCCCGCGGCGTCCCGCGCCAGGGCGGGCAGCAGAGCGAAGCGCGGCGCGGGCTCCGGGCCGCCGAGGCGGGCGGGCGGCCGCTGGGGTCGGGCTCCGGGCGGCCGGGCGGCGGGCGGCGGGCTCCGCGGCGGCACCAGCCCGCCCCACAGCGCCAGCAGCGAGCTCAGCGCCAGCAGCCAGAGCCCCGCGCGGCCGGCGGCGGCGGCGGCGGCGCCCCGCATCCTCGCGCCCGCCCCGATGCCGCCTCCGGCCGCGCCCGGCACCGCCGCCGCCGCCGCCGCCGCTCTCTCAAGCCGAGCCCGGGCTCCGGGGTCCCGGCGGCGGCGGGGGTGGCGAGGCGGGCGGCCCGGCTGCGGGTGGGCGCCGGGGCTCCGGGAGCTCCGGCCCCATCGTGGCCGCGGGGCGCAGCGGCGGCGGCGAGGTCCTCTCCCGCTCGGGCCGGCTGGGAACTCGCCGCGCCGCCGCTTCCCAGCAGCTTTTGTATTTCGGCTGGTGAGACCCTCCGGCGGGCGCGATTCACAGGCGCCCGGACCACGTGGGAGCCAAGGGGGGGGATCCCCCCTCCCCCTCCGAGCCGCCGCTCCCCGCCCCCCACGCCCCCGCCCCCTTCCCCTCCTCTTTCAGTTAAAGCGGCGATGGCTCTTTCCGAGCGCGAGAGGCGGCCCCGCGCTCCAGCTTGCCGGGCTCCGGGGGTCGGGGGGTGCGTCGCGGGGGTGAGCCCGCAGGAGAGAGCCGGGCTTGCGGGGCGCCCGCACGGGGGCATCGCCGGGGGTGAGGTGGGGATGGGGTCCCGCAGGCTGGGAGGGGCGCGCCCGGCCTGGTGGGTGGTGCGTTCTCCGAGTCCCGTCTTAACGCCCCGGCAGCGGCTGCAAACTTCAGGCTAACCCCTTAGCGCTCGGGGCGATGCCTGGCTGGACCGAGGGCGGGTCCCTTTGCCTTCTGTTTCCGACGGCGGGATTCCTGCACGGGTCTTATGTAAACCCCCTCCCCCTGGCATCTCTCTGAGCCCGCGGGGGGGGGGAGGGGTAGGGGGGCAAAAGGAGAGACTGGTGTAGCAAACCACTTCGCAGAGATAACCCCTCTTCCCCCCCCACCCCCGTGCGCGCCCACCACCTCCACTCCCTGCGGATTTAGCGCACATCGAGGTGGGTCGCCCCCCCCCCCCTTCCTCATGCCAAAAAATGCACCGGGAATTAAAGGTCATGGTGCTTCAAAAAAGCCCAGGCCAACTGCCAATCATTCGTTCATCCATTCTATCAAGCGTCTATCCGTGGTGCAGGTCACAGAGCAGGAAGTTCCACAGAGCAGGGTCCTCGTGGAGTTCACAGGCCCAGGGTGGCATTTGTTCTAGAGCTCGTCCCCCAGGATCCACCAAGTGCCCACTCTGGCGTCAGGGACCAGTTTGCTCAAGGAGTAATTGAGTCATGGAGAAGGGATGGAGCGTGCTCAAGTCCCCACCGTTAGCAAGTGGAGAATTCAGGGTGCAAAGTGACCTCCTGGTTGCATGCTCACGATTTCCCCTCCATTAAGAAAAGTTCAAAATTTAAAAAGAAAAAAATCAAATTGCCAGCCTTCTCCTTCCCCGCTCTCCCTCTGTTTTTCTCTCTTTTACTCGGTCATTTAGCCAGTCACTCTTCCCAAAATGTAATTTTCAAGCCAACAAAAGAAAGCAGCAAACCCCATATTGCATTGCCGCACCGACTTTCTGGTTTAAGAGAAAAATGAACGATTGGGGGAGGGGTGGAAGAGCAAACAAAAAAAACAAACAAAAACAAAGTCAACCACAGCTTCCTCCTTTAGGTTCCCTTCACCAGGAAAGCTCTTGCAAAAGGAAGACTCTCTCTCCCTGAGACTTGAGAGATGATGGTACTGCAGGTAAGGGGGCTTGCCTTGCTTTTCAGCTGGCCGGGGGTTGTGGTTTCCTCATCCTAGCGCCACAAGGAGTCGATCCCTGAGCTCAGCAGGGGCCAGAGCAATAGGACAGAGGCACTTGCCTGGCACAGGACCATATCTAGCACCCTCTACAGTCCCTTGAGATCTCAAGGAATGATCCCTGAGCTCAGAGCCAGGAGTAAACCCTGAGCACCACTGGGTGTGGCCAACCCCACTCCCTCCCTTCCCCCAAAATAGAAAGCATTGGCTCTTCTTTTCCCTCTCTGCACCCAGTGTATCCCAGATCCAAACCCCATGCCCAGGTAGGATGTGGAGGTTGCACTCCCTACAAGGCCATGTTTAAACTCTCTCTTTTCATGGGTCTCTTTTCTTTTTCTCTCCTCTTCTGTAATTCGCTCATCAGCTGGTACTGATGATTCTTTGTTCTCTGAGGAAAGAGGGTTCTAGAGTTCTAGGACAGGCACCCTCACATCTGCTGCTGAGGGTTGCCTTCCCATACCACATCTGACTCAGTCGTCCCTCTATTGTCTCCAGATTGACTGCCATGTGGGTTCTTGGTTGCATCTGTTCCTCTCTACGTGGTGGTTAGGCTGCATTTTTAATAGATCTTATCTGATGATGCGATTACTACAGCTCCCATATGGATATATCAGAACATATTAATTCATTGAAAGGTGCTGGCTTCCCGCTCTGTGCAATACCTAATCCTCAACTTTCCCTCAAAGGGGTGGGAGTGGGAATGTGTCTTATGTCTTATAAACCTTTGATTTATCTCACTACTCACTACTTAGCATAATATATGACACAAAATAGGTGCTCAATACATTGAATTTGTGTGTGTGTGCGCGTGTGTGTGTGTGTGGCTTTAATTTCTGGGAATGTAGTGTAAACTATAAGCAACATCGCCACCTTGTGGGAGTAAGTAGAATAACATGTAATTAGAGAAAATTTTAGCAGGATAATTAATTGATTAAGTTAAATTCTGAGGCTATTACATGGCTATTACGACCCACCCCGTGACCTAGGTGCTATGTAAGTCCTTCTAAAGTAGACTGTGGGTGACTGGGGATATAGTACAGTGGGTAGAGTGCGTGCTTTGCATGTGGTCGACCAGGATTTGATCTCCCACATGCCATGTGGTCTCCTGAGCCCACCAGGAGTGATTCCCTGAGTGCAGAACAAGGCGTGTGTGTGTGTGGGGGGGGTATCTCTCAAACAAGAAAAAAAATACTAAATAAAGTAGACTTTTGGACTGTTAACAAAACCTGTAAAGATCTAGGAGAGATCTTTTACTGTAAACCCTGGAGTAGAGGGAAGGGTTCAGCAGGGTGGGGGTGGGGGGAAATGTGTTGTGTGTCTGTCTTTTCTGTTGGTTTATTACTTCCTGCCATAATAATCGTTTCCACTTAGTGGGCATTCAATAAAAATGTGCTAAATAAGCCACTGGAGTGTTGTTATAAAGGAGGTCAGGCTCTTCAAGTCACTTGTATCAATTATTTTCCCCCACACCTTATTACTAACTAAAGGCAATTTTATATTATCATTCATTTTAAATGGGGAGAAAAAAGTGAAGATTCTGCGTGAAGGAGGAGGAAGCACATGATTTTCACCCTGGGAGGGCCAACCTCAAGCTGTGACACCCCGGATGCCAAAATCTTCCGGCCCTATCACTGGTATTAATGAAGAATCCAAGTGCTAGAGGAGTCAGCTGAGCCTTTCATTTCTGATACACTTCCTTTCTCAGCTCCTGGAGCCTGCATAGCTCATAAAAGGAAACACTCACAGAAACCTGAGATGTAGAATTAGACGCTGGAGAGATAGTTCAAACAGGCCAAGTGTGTGCAAAGCATGAACAGGGTTCAATCCCTGGAACTGCATGATCCCCTGAGCTCTGCTAGGAGCACCTACTGAGCACAGAGCCTAGAGTAGCTGTGTAGGGGAGGCTACTACCCCTCCCTCTGGAAAAAAAAAAAGAAATGCAGAATTACAGACAAGCAAAGAAGTACAGCAAACCCAAAGTAGAGTGGAGTTTTAAAGTGATAGGCCAGGGAGGTAGTGCAGGGGCTGTTGCATATGGGCTGATCCAGATTCAGCCTGTTGCAATGCGCGGTCCCCTGCATATTGCCTGACCTGACCCCAGAGCAGAGGTCAGGTGAGGTGTGGCTCAACACCCCCCACCCCCCGGCAATTCATATTCTTATTTATAATGCTAAAATGCTCCTCGATCTTCCTGTTAGATGAAAATGCCCTCTCTTTTACTTCTGGATTTGGAAATCCCTCTCCTATACTCTGAGGCTCTTGGGTTCAAATAGTTTGTCATAGGTATCATCTCAATTTCTCCAGCCCCTCTGGCGATTCCCTGGGACACATAAGGGTCTGTCCAAACATCCCCACGTAGGAACTGATTTTCACCTTGAAAACTTTTTTTCTTTTGTGACTTCTTGTGAGAGAGAAATGTATAATCTATCCAGTCTATGGTATTGAAAACTTTCGTTGTTTAATTCCTCAGAGCTTCTGCCTGAGCCAATTGCTTCGAACATTTCCACAATAGTGTTTGAGGAATGATTGAGATCCTATAATAGGGCCACCTGGGAAAGAAAGTGGAGGTTGTATTGAAGGTAGTTTCTGGCATAGGTAGGGGGGTTGGTCGGTTAATGTACTTTGGTGAAATAATGAAATTTAAGAAGAAATCACCTATCCCTCATGTAGCCCAAAGGCATGAAGATCATATCCCTTTGAAATACAAATCTTGAAATCTTTGGAGAGAAGAAACTGAGGCATTGCCCAGATGCAGAAATCCCAGGACCCACCCAGAGAAGGGTGGAGCTCTCAGAGAAGGAGAAGCTACCGAAGAACCCATGAGATTAACTTTTTTTTTTTTTTTTTTGCTTTTTGGATCACACCCAGCCATGCTCAGGAATTACTCCTTGGCTCTGCACTCAGGAATTACTCCTGAAGGTGCTCAGGGGACCATATGGGATGCTGGGAACCGAACCTGGGTCGGCCGCATGCAAAAGCCCTACCCACTGTACTATCGCTCCAGCCCACAAGATTAACTCTTAGGGAGGCAAACTTCAGGAAAAAAACATTTGGAAGAATTGGAAGAAAGTCATTTGGGACTTGCTTTTCAGCCTACAATCTCCCTGGCACATGTTATCTCTTGTGCGTATCTCTGTTTGTTTTCATGCTTATTTCCTCTCTGGAGAAGTCCGTGTTCTCACATTTCCCTCTTTCTCTCCTCTCATATCTTTCTAACCCAGTTTCAATGAATAAAAACTACCTGCTTTATTTTTTTGCCTCCTCCTGAAATTATTTTCTGTGAGGGAAGGTGAAGGACCCAGATGGCCTGTGCTGAGGTGAGGACTGCCTTTCTCTTCCTGCAAAGGGCAATTCCTCGCTCCAGCTAGAGTCCTCAGCTCCCTGAGAAATGGGGTGGCAGGAATCATCTCCCACACTGTGCAGAACAGGTGAACTCCAGGCTTAGCTTGACAGTAGTCTCAGAGGCTGGTGGAACACGAATTTATGCCTTGTAGGTGCTTGTGGCAGATTAGCAGGGCCTCATCCAAGCCAGGCATTTCTCTGAGCACTGAGCTCTGGGTCGAACAGAGAGGTGGAAGTACTATTTTCTCAAGTCTACCTC